CACTAAATCAGATAGCCAAAAACACAGGTCCGTTAAACTCAAACCACAAGTTCTAACAAAACAATATGCAAATCTCCCATAAGGAACCTTTATATCTACTGCGAAACAAACCTCATTAACTTGACAAAACCAGAAATCTGTTATATTTCACAGATCTAAGAAGCGAAAGCTGTTAAAAAACAATAAAATGAACATATATCATAGACTAACTATGAAAACGAAGCTCATTAAAAGTTACAAATCCAAAAAAAAGTGATGTTTCACAGATCTCGGCGGAGAAGAGTGAAAAAAACAATTAAAATTAAAACGATGAATCAATTATATTCAGTAAAGTTACAAAATCGAAAATTCTCAACATTTTGCAGATCTATAGATAGAAAAGTGCAAAACAATAAATGAATATACCAAACATACATATATATATATAATATATATGCAAAACGGAGATCAGAAATATGAGAATTGTTAAAACGATCTATATGCAAATAGCATTACACAGTTAGAGAGAGAAAGGTACCTGCGTTCGACTCGCCTCCGAGAGTAGTGATAGAGAGGAGAGGAGAAGGGAGTAGACGGTGATGAGAGAGAAAATGTGAACGAGGGTAAAAGGAGTGCTAACGCGAATACACACTAGTATATATAGGGTGGCTGGCTCTGTGACTGTGTGACCTATATTTTCTGCGAATATTTTCACAGGATTCTTTACTTTTATCCCTACTTGGCGGGTGCATATGATTTCATTTTAACGGCTCTATACATAGTGGCCACGTTAAGAAGTGTAACCCTATGAGGTTCTTTTTTTGCTTTAGGCATTTCCTGTTGAAATTCATTTTTAAGTCCGAGCCCGTTTTTGGCAAGTTGCCAAAATTTGCTAAGCTTTTGGGAGGCCAAAAGTACTTATTGAGTTGTTTGACCAATACAGAAAAGTACTTTTTGCCAGCAACAGAAGCAGTTTTCTGCTTTTGGGAAGAAAGCAGAAAATTCTAGCTTCTTCAAGAAGCAGAAGTAGAAAATTTATTTATTCAAGACAAAACTATCCTCGCCGTAAATTTATATTTTCCCAAATTATCCCTTGCTAATTTAAGTTTTTCTTTTCATTTTTGTTTCTAGTTTTTACCATCCTATTGAAATAAAAGATATCATATTTATGAATCATTTGTAACTTTTCAAATTTTTTATTGACTTTTCTTGTTTTTGATCTTTTCTTTGTGTAATGTTCTCGTAACTTCCAATTATCTTCTTCTTTTTTCACACTAAAGCAAATTATCTGCATCTTCTTCGGATATCAATTCTCTTCCGACAAATAATTATTTATATTTTTTCTATCATATGCTATTAGTTCCCGAATCTTTAAACCAGTTATTAAGTCTGGTTTGTGAAATGACCTACAAACAGGTAATAAATTTACAATTGCATTACATAATATATCTATATATATTAAAAAGAAGAAGAAAATGCATCCAATTTAGTCAAGTGGCAGCCTCACAATAGCCACTTGTCATTTTAGGACAAGTTAGTAAGGTTAGGTAATAATTAGTTTTTTTTTTAATTTTTTTTTAAAATAAATTATACTTATGTGTTGTTAATAATTAGTTGCTCTTTTTGAATTAGAATTTTAAACATACTTAACTATTTCTTTTACGATTTTTTTTATATTTAAAATTATTTTTATTTTACACTCAATGCCTTTCAAGTTTGACACTCAAAATTATCTAGTTACAACTACCATGGCTGTACATAATTTCATCCTATAATATTTCTACCGATAAAAAATTCAACTATTATGCTAATGAAGACATTACTGCAGAGAATTGATGAAGGAGATCAGTCTTCTGATATTCCTTTAGAAATGCGAGGCAAGTCTTCTACTAATATGGAAGCGTTGTGTGATAGAATTAGAGATGAAATTGTTGAGAAGTATTATCATGTGTGAGCGACTTTACTTATTATTTCATGATGGATTATCAATATATAGTAATTTGTGGATAGACTTCTAATTTATACTGAATGATGTTATTTTAATTATTCAAATTATCATATAAAAATAAGTAATTATACTGGATAATATCATATACTTTTGTATAACTATATATGTAAAATTGATATAAATCTTTAATATGTTTGTTTACTTTATGTTTTATATTTTAATTAAATAAAATAAAAAAATAATAAAAGTCTCTTACGATAATTATTTAAGTTATATATTTATATTTAAGAATTATACGACCTTGGTACTATCCTTTTTGGTAATTTGACACTCCAAAAATACTTTTAAAATGATTGGTCAAACACAAATTATTTACAAATGTTGCAAAAAGTACTTTTAAATGAATTGGTCAAACAGTGTACTTGTCAAAATAGAATCCACTATTATGAGTTTGAATTTGAATATGCAATGATTATTAAAATGGTGTATCTAGATTTATAGCATGTTTGGTCAAAGCTTTAAAATCTGCTTATTTTGAGAAGTGTTTTTTTCAAAAGTACTTTTCAAAAAAAAATACTTTTGGTGAGATTCGGTTTGTGTTTGAACTAATTTAATTTGAAAAGCAACTTCTGAGCAGTAATTAGTGTTTGACCAAGTTTTTTGAAAAACTGCTTCTAAGTGTATTTTCTCAAAATTGGCTTCTCCAGAAAAGTGCTTTTGGAAAGAAGCTACATTTTTCTGCTTCTCAAAATATGCTTCTGCTTCTCCTCAAAAGCACTTTGTTTCCTTCTAAAAGCTTGCAAACAGCCTCAATTTTTTGGCCAAAGCACAATTTGATAAAAAAAATACTTTTGGCCCTACAAAAGCTTGGCCAAACAGGCTATTAAACACCAAAAATTCAAGACTAATTTTGTTTTAGCATCTCAATCTTAGAGAAAAAATTAATTTCAAAATGTTATATAAATTATTTTTGATAAAATTATTCTAAAGTTAGTGACGGTTGATAGCAATGGTGGTTGGGCGACGTGTTTGTAGGATGGTGGTCATTGGCAATGTAGTTGGTGCAGGAGGCAAGCGATGGGGTTGTGTAACGACGGCAAATGGTGATTGTCTATTGATAGTCAAAGATAGATCAAGAACATCCAAGATGACTGATGAGATCGGATAGCTGATGAAGTGTCGTGTGGTTGAAAATTAGTTTGTAAGAGCTGGATGAGAAACAGTAAAAATGTAGCTTCTCTCCAAAAGCACTTTTCTGAGAAGCACTTTTGAGAAAAATACACTTAGAAGCAGTTTTCAACAGCTTGGTCTAAGAGCCCGTTTGGCCAAGTTGCCAAAATCTGAAAAAGTGCTTTTGAAAAAAAACTGTTTGTGTTTGGCCAATTCATTTAAGAAGTACTTTTTGCAACATTTAGTAAATAATTTGTGTTTGGCCAATCATTTCAAAAAGTACTTTTGAATGTCAAATTACCAAAAAGGATAGTACCAAGGTCGTATAATTCTTTTAAATATAAAAATGAACTTAAATATTTATCGTAAGAGACTTTTATTATTTTTTTATTTTATTTAATTAAAATATAAAACACAAAGTAAATAAATATGTTAAAGATTTAAATCAATTTTACATATATAGTTATACTAAAGTATATGATATTATCCAGTATAGTTACTTATTTTTATATGATGATTTGAATAATTAAAATAACATCATTCAGTATAAATTAGAAGTCTATCCACAAATTACTATATATTGATAATCCATCATGAAATAATAAGTAAAGTCGCTCACACATGATAATACTTCTCAACAATTTCATCTCTAATTCTATCACACAACGCTTCCATATTAGTAGAAGACTTGCCTCGCATTTCTAAAGGAATATCAGAAGACTGATCTCCTTCATCAATCTCTGCAGTAATGTCTTCATTAGCATAATAGTTGAATTTTTTATCGGTAGAAGAATATTATAGGATGAAATTATGTACAGCCATGGTAGTTGTAACTAGATAATTTTGAGTGTCAAACTTGAAAGGCATTGAGTGTAAAATAAAAATAATTTTAAATATATAAAAAAATCGTAAAAGAAATAGTTAAGTATGTTTAAATTCTAATTCAAAAAGAGCAACTAATTATTAACAACACATAATGTATAATTTATTTTAAAAAAAAATTAAAAAAAAAACTAATTATTACCTAACCTTACTAACTTTGTCCTAAAATGACAAGTGGCCTATTGTGAGGCTGCCACTTGACTAAATGTGGATGCATTTTCTTCTTCTTTTAATAATATATAGATATATTATGTAATGCAATTGTAAATTTATTACCTGTTTGTAGGTCATTTTCACAAACCAGACTTAATAACTGTTTTAAAGATTCGGGAACTAATAGCATATGATAGAAAAAATTATAAATAATTATTTGTCGGAAGAGAATTGATAATCCGAAGAAGATGCAGATAATTTGCTTTAGTGTGAAAAAAGAAGAAGATAATTTGGAAGTTACGAGACATTACACAAAGAAAAGATCAAAAACAAGAAAAGTCAATAAAAAATTTGAAAAGTTACAATATGATTCATAAATATGATATCTTTTATTTCAATAGGATGGTAAAAACTAGAAACAAAAATGAAAAGAAAAAACTTAAATTAGCAAGGGATAATTTGGAAAATATAAATTTACGGCGAGGATAGTTTTGTCTTGAATAAATAAATTTTCTACTTCTGCTTCTTGGAAGAAGCTAGAATTTTCTGCTTCTTCCCAAAAGCAGAAAAACTGCTTCTGTTGCTGGCAAAAAGTACTTTTCTGTATTGGTCAAACAACTCAATAAGTACTTTTGGCCTCCCAAAAGCTTAGCAAATTTTGGCAACTTGGCCAAACGGGCTCGGACTTAAAAATGAATTTCAACAGGAAATGCCTAAAGCAAAAAAGAACCTCATAGGGTTACACTACTAACGTGGCCACTATGTATAGAGCCGTAAAATGAAATCATATGCACCCGCCAAGTAGGGATAAAAAGTAAAGAATCCTGTGAAAATATTCGCAGAAAATATAGGTCACACAGTCACAGAGCCAGCCACCCTATATATACTAGTGTTGTATTCGCCGTTAGCACTCCTTTTACCCCTCGTTCACATTTTCTCTCTCATCACCGTCTACTCCTCGTTCTCCTCTCCTCTCTATCACTACTCTCGAGGCGAGTCGAACGCAGGTACCTTTCTCTCTCTAACTGTGTAATGCTATTTGCATATAGATCGTTTTAACAATTCTCATATTTCTGATCTCCGTTTTGCATATATATATATATATATATGTATGTTTGTATATTCATTTAATTGTTTTTGCACTTTTCTATCTATAGATCTGCAAAATGTTGAGAATTTTCGATTTTGTAACTTTACTGAATATAATGATTTCATCGTTTTAATTTTAATTGTTTTTTCACTCTTCTCCGCCGAGATCTGTGAAACATCACTTTTTTTTTGGATTTGTAACTTTAATGAGCTTCGTTTCATAGTAGTCTATGTATATATGTTCATTTTATTGTTTTTAACAGCTTTCGCTTCTTAGATCTGTGAAATATAACAGATTTCTGGTTTTGTCAAGTTAATGAGGTTTGTTTCGCAGTAGATATAAAGGTCTTATGGAGATCTGCTATTGTTTTGTTAGAACTGTGGTTTAGTTTAACGGACCTGTGTTTTGGCTGATCTGATTTATGTTTGCAGTGCTTTTTTGATTGTTGGATCTGCAGATCTGGTCAACGATTTATAGTTTTGATCTGTTCATCTTAGGTTGTTTCATTTTGCTGCCCCACGCGCAAACTTTAATATTAGTGTATGTAAAATTGCTACTTCTAGTACTTTAATACTATTTAAATGCTTAAGTTTATGTGGGTTTGCTTATTGTATTATGATGTTGAATATACGAGTATAGGAATCTATTTGTCAGGGCATGATTACAGCAAGTATTTTGTGCCACAGATACTGAGAATTGTTTTGGAGTAGGTACTGATATACCATTTCTTTTTTGTAGAACTGAATTGGCTATGAAATTGGAATTGATTCTGTACTAGACTACTAGTGATGCACTCTTTGTTTTGTGGTTTTGTTTTCTAGGTTTGGGAAGTCAAGGTTTATAATTCTATTTTAGACTAGATTATGTCTCATATAGTTCTTACATTAACCTTTATATAGGGTGGACCAGTGTGATGCTTGATATCGGCAGTTAGTGCCCCTTTTATTGCAGTTTCCAGATAGAGCTTTTTGTTTATTGTTTGAAGCTGTGCTGTTTATGTCATTATGTTTTTGTGTAAAGTTTGTGCTTTTGAGCTTTTAATGCACATTTTCTGGCCTAAACTATTTAGAGATTTGACTTCAACGAGATTTATCATGTGATTTTAGGTTAAAAGTGTAAGTTATTTTAGTTTTACATAGCTTATTACTGTGTAGATATAAGAAAACTGACAGTTACATTTCTAAAGAAGCAAAGGAATTGCCATTTCAAGACAACCTGTAAATGTGAGAATACCCTGTCTACTTGATTTGATAAAGGTTCATGTTTGAGTTGGTATATGTTGTGACTGGTTTTTCAATAATGTTGAACAGGCAGTTGAATGATGAAAAGTAAGATGTTTTCTTTTAGTTGTTATGACAGCAATTTTGTGTACTTTGTTGAATTCGTGGACGGCTTTTGTCCGTGGAGAGCTTAAAAAAGTAGAGATCTGATTCCAATGTTCTAACTGTGCAGGACTTTGTTAAACATTGCAATGGCAGAAATGAACCAGCACCCAACTGTCTTCCAGAAAGCAGCTAACCAGCTACACCTGAGCTCGAGTCTTTCCCAAGATGTCCATGCTCGCCATGGGGGCGTGCAGCCTGCTGTTTACCAGAGGCGTTTTGCTTATGGAAGCTACTCCAATGCTGGACTACAAACATGCCAAGCCACTCAGGATCTGTCATTGATCACCTCAAATGCTTCACCAGTGTTTGTGCAGGCTCCTCAAGAGAAAGGACTTGCAGCTTTTGCCACTGACTTCCTCATGGGTGGAGTTTCTGCTGCTGTGTCAAAGACCGCTGCTGCCCCCATTGAACGTGTTAAACTTTTGATCCAAAATCAAGATGAGATGCTCAAGGCTGGTAGGCTCTCAGAACCATACAAGGGAATTGGCGAATGTTTTGGGAGGACAATTAAAGAAGAAGGGGTTGGGTCGTTATGGAGAGGAAACACTGCTAATGTTATCCGTTATTTTCCCACTCAGGTTTACCTTCTATCTCTCTTCATTTTGATGGCTGAAATTTATGATATGCACGCACCTTGGCTGTCCTGTTTGTTTAAGTCAGGCATTTACTGACTGATACTATGTGTTCCACAGGCCTTGAACTTTGCATTTAAGGACTACTTCAAGAGACTCTTCAACTTCAAGAAGGACCGTGATGGCTACTGGAAGTGGTTTGCTGGCAACCTTGCATCTGGTGGTGCTGCTGGTGCTTCCTCATTGCTCTTTGTCTACTCCTTGGACTATGCTCGTACCCGTCTTGCTAATGATGCCAAGGCCTCAAAGAAGGGAGGTGAGAGGCAGTTCAACGGTTTGGTTGATGTCTACAAGAAGACACTCAAATCTGATGGAATTGCTGGTCTGTACCGTGGATTCAACATTTCATGTGTTGGTATCATTGTTTACCGTGGTTTGTACTTCGGAATGTACGACTCTTTGAAGCCTGTTCTCTTGACTGGAAGCCTGCAGGTTAGTGCTTTAATCTGTTGGTGTCTTTGCACTGCTAGTTCAACCATTTTGCTATTCAAAGTTTTTTGCCTTCTGTTTCATGCCATAATTGTTAATTGGGTGTATCATTTTTTGGCTATATATACCATGAATAAATTAATGCATGAATGTTGTTTTCATGTTAGAGTGGATGTTTAGAGCTTATTTGGGTAGTGATAAGAACTCACTATATGTGGGTGGATATCTTCAATTTCAGCTGATATTTTCATGTTGCTAGAGTTCTTTTCTTGAAGGGTGGATAAGTGCTTGGGATTTTGAGGCTTAGTTATTATATTACATGTATAGATCGACTTTTTAGCATGAAAATTATGGAGTGACTGACCCATGTGTGGACTCTGTGTATACAGGATAGTTTCTTTGCTAGTTTTGGTCTTGGTTGGCTCATCACCAATGGTGCTGGTCTTGCTTCCTACCCAATTGATACAGTCAGAAGAAGAATGATGATGACGTCTGGCGAGGCCGTTAAGTACAAGAGTTCGTTCGATGCATTCTCCCAGATTGTTAAGAACGAGGGTGCCAAATCCCTCTTCAAGGGTGCTGGTGCAAACATCCTCCGAGCTGTTGCTGGTGCTGGTGTGTTGGCTGGATACGACAAGCTTCAGGTCATTGTTTTTGGAAAGAAATACGGATCCGGTGGTGCCTAAGTCAGCCTCTAAACATCCTTTTTAGAAATAGATGGTGATGAAAATCTTTTTGGTGTTACGTTTGAGGATTCATTTGGGGAGACAATTACCAATTTTCCTTTGCCTTCTGTAATAATTTAAAATTTTAGAGGGGGTTAAATCTTTGAAACCCCACACCCCTTTCCCTTGTTGAAGGGGTTTTACTGTTTTGTTTTGGCGGATCTTAATTCACTGCAGAGGTTACAGGTTCTCAATGGGATCTTCGATAAAATACAAATGTGGATCAGTTTGAGACTAATCTTTTACAGTCTGGTATACCACATTTTTTCCCCAAAAATTCCCATCTTGTTTCTATTCTATTCTAGGTCGTTGCTAACTTTGCTTCATATGAAGACATCTGAGCCTACGTAACTCGAATCTGCAGTCATCAATTATTTCACTGTTCTGAATCACATAGTTGGCTATGGTATTAGAACAGTACGCATGAGACGTGAGTGCAACTATTGTTACACCACTCTACCTGAGTAGCAGTTACCGCTATGGTTATACTGATTAGGAGAGATGCTTCTGTCTATTAGAAATGTTATTCAACTGCAATTTGTAAGTCAGCTGTAATACCTCTCATTAAGTACAAGGGTAGTTAAGTAAATTAAAAAAAAACAAAGGATAGTAAAACAAAAACAAAGAGTATGCAATCGGCTTTAAGTCTTTAACCCATCAACAACGTGATAGGAAAAAAAAGAGAGAACTTCATTTATAGCCCATCGGGCAAAACAAATATTATCCGGTAGCCCAAAATTTTAATATGCATTTTATAGCCCTAAAATAATTCAAGTGGCTAGCCACCGAACTATATATCTGCACCACATGCCTTCAAAGCTCTTCATCAATGGCCCTAGGTTTGTCCCTAGCCTACAACTCCAATGGGAAACCCTTTTCTCCAACAGATTCCAGCTCCAGTTTGTCAGCTTACAGGAAGCAGCAATCAAATCTTTTCTTTCCTTTGAGAAAAGTAGCTTCCTTTTCCCAACTTCAATTCTTACTTTCTCAATTTTCAATTAATCATAATGTAGACTTTCCTCTCTTTTCTTGTAGAAATGTAGGCGGCAGAGTCGGGCCCTATTTATCGTTAGTGGGTCAGATTCCGGCGAAAGTAATATTCAAGGTATCCCATAATCTCCAGCATAACAAGTTCATAGTAACAACAGTACACAAACAAATACAGGTTCACTGGAGAAATAATTTTCGGCCCGAAATGGTTTAGCCGGAAAACTTCACGGTCGTCGGAAAAGCTATATACCGGCCAGATCTGCCGAAATTCAAATTAGCAAGCAAACCATCTTTCAGATCTAGATTTTTATAATATCAAAATCCCCAAAACAGTGAATAAAACGAGAAGAAAGAGTCGCCAGATTTAATGGAGGATCACCGGTGTTTGAGTTTCCGTCCAGATCTAAAGCCAACGAAATCGAGCACAATGGGTTAGACTGACTGCGTTTTGATTTCAATTTCACGATAAAGTTCGGTTCTTCCATCCAAGATAAAGCGTCCTTTTTATGTTTTTACAAAGGTGCAAGTCGTTGGGTTTATACTTAAGTTCAATCTGATGGTTTTCCTTCTCTCCTTCTTCCTATTTATTTACCTTTTTATGTTTTTGAATCCACTAATAGCAAACCATTCTCAATTGTGTTATTTTGTCCAATGTAGAGGTAGACCATGTATTACATTTTTAGACTGTATTAGACAGGAGAGCAATTTTTTTTTTTTTGAATATTGGAAAGAAAATCTGTCACTATACAAAAAATATACAAAATAGACTGTCACTATACAAAAAATATATAAAATAGATGTAACTATACAAAATATATACAAAAAAGACTGTCACTATACAAAAATACATGATCCACTCCAAATACACAGTGTGCACACATTCCACATACAAAATTGTATATAATTTATATACACTATGTTTACATATTAGAAAATACACATTATATACAATTTGGATACATTGTTCAGACAGATTATACATTGCAAAAAAGGGTTGCTCTATCGCGCCAGGCAGGGGTCGAACCTACGACCTTCAAGTTAGGAAACAGGCGCTCTATCCACTAAGCTACAGGCGCTTATGTTGTCATACTCATTCCTTTCGGCTACTATGTCCAATACTTTTGGGCCGAAGGGCCATTTTTTGTAAGTAAGACAAAACATGGGCTATTAAAATTTTGAGGGGCTATAGAGGGTAGTTTTCTCAAAAAAAAAAAAGTTAAAAGGAATTTTCTGGGAAAGGAGTGCAGCACTTATGCTGCGGCTAAAGGGAAGAGAAGAAGAAAGTGGTTGGAACCAAGCTTTGAAAAATAGGTAACAAAGTATTCTTATACTTTTATTCTACTCACATGATGTTATACATATTGTCATGGATTGAGTTAAAGGGTAATAACATGATTTGGATATGGTAATATCAATTTACTTGAATATGAGAATACCAATGAACTAGAATCAGATTTCAATGAGATAGGCTAAGAAAGGAATTAGTCAAATTGATCAGCTATATATTTCAGAAGTTTGGGTGAGCAAACAAGGTGCTAAGTTAATTTTCTGTTTGTACTACTTTAATTCTATTAAGAAGATAAGGGGACGTAAACTCAATACTACTGTTTTATTCATGTTTCCGATATACTTGGTAAAAAAGTTTGAAGTAAGGTTTTAAGAATAGAAAAACGCATTCGCAAATAGATGTTTATTTAGATGAATGTATTGTGGAATTGATGGGCAGTAACAATAGACTTATATCGATTTATAGATTTACACACGAGTTGACCATTCGGATCGATAAGAAATCGAGCTTTGGCTAGTTGGCTTCTAGAGGTGAGTAGTAATCTTATCGCAATTTGCGTTTTCCATAACCTGCATGGTTTATACATTATTTTGAAAATAAATGTGTTATCGAATGTTTGAAATTTGCATGTGGGACAAGTGCTTTACTTGATATGGTACTGAACAGGTTACTTCAGATGTTTACGATTATTTAAAATGCTCTCATTGTTACTAGACATGATTTACTGTTATTTGAGATATGATTATTTGTTATCGAAATTGGATTACTTGATTTGATAAGAATTGAAATGCCCTGTACTATTTTTGAAAATGCTTCCATGTGAGTATTTACTGTTTACAAAGAAAAGTATAAATGGGAGGAGACTTTGAAGGATCCCGTAGCTAACGACGGGTTCGTTAGACCTGGTGCACCTTGTATTTACGATATTACCGATTATAGTTATAGCTAGTGGGAAGGTAGAACTAGCATACAGTTACAGTTTTCCCTCTAGTAGGGAACTACAGTTATATTTGACTCCTTTTACGAAGGGGTCTACACAGTGAAACAGATTACATGATCCTTCCTTGGAAACCTCCCAAACATAAAAATTTGCTATGAAACAGTGCTTACCGAGTTTATTACCGAATTGTTCCATTGATTCCTGTTACAGGAAACACATGACGAGGCTGATTATTGTTTATTGTTTTGAAAGGGCATTCTTATGATATTTTCTGTATACTATACCAGCATGTTTTCTGACTTGTCCCCAATTAAAAACGGTTGTGGTTAAGTGTTATTACTCACTGAGCTAGCGACTCACTCCCCGCTGATTTTTTTTACAGAGATAACAGTTGACGCGAGCGAGAATTTTGTTAATTAGAGTACACGATTTGATAGTTTTCGGTGAGCGCCGCGCTTGTTCGCGTGGGCAAAGAGTTTATTTATTTGTTATCGTCTTTTCTTATGAACTATTGTCATTTTTATTAGTGTCATGGGCATTCATTCGTTATATTGGACTAGATACTAGTATTGTACTTCTTTCCGTATTTTTGAGATGTTAGTATTATTATGTTGATAAGGTTGGTAATGTTGCTGACGACTCATTTTTGGTTAGTTAGTGAAGATTGTGATTGATTTATGAGATAGGAAAACTTTTGGATAGTCCTAAAACAGAAGAAACCCTATCCGATTTTCTGAAGGGCACTTGCTCTTAAGCGCCGGTCATGATCCTAAATTGAAATTCTCAGTTTATAAACAAGAAGCTATAAACAATAATAAAAAAAGACGAGTTTATGACAAGGGATTTAAGAAGTGTAAAATCTAAACAGAAAGGTTTATTGACATAGTTGATTTGAAAAACGATGCATCCAAAAAAAAAAAATTGACGAACTTTGTCCACTACTGCAAAGCTGCATTTTTCTATTAAAAATTCACTTTTGGTTAATGGGTGGATAAAACTTAAAACAAGCGAAGAATCTCAATTATCAAGTGATTGAATTTTTAACAGAAGTAACTCCAATATTGATCGGCAGCAGGGTTAGCATGAAGAGTATTTGTTATTACTGCTTAATATGGATGTTTCTACAACAAGTTTAACTTATGTGCATTGACCTTGTATACATATTTTACAATACCATATTAAATTGACCTAAGCCTTGGTGTATGGAATTATGGCACATTGTACTTGAGTTTTTCTATATTTTAGGCATAAGTATGTTTATACAAATTTTATTATCTCATTGAAAAGTTATTACATTTTAATCAAGGGCTAACTTTAAACAGCGGTCCAAAAAAGTGAATAGGCCACCCAAATTTTACAATAAGGGTCTGATTGGAAAGCCATGTCTAATTATATGGCTACATAATTACTAGGTAGTAGTAATTACACACCCTGATAATTATATAGTATTGTAATTAAAATGACCTGTTTGTTTACCATAACATAATTCTCACTGTCATGTTTGGCTGGACAAGTGTAATTACATAATTAAAAAAAGTTCAGATTAACTTATTGAAATATTAAATAATTATAAATTGATAATAATATCTTTCAAATAAATAATATTATTACTTGAATGGATTAATCAAAATTGCGATGACAAATTTTAAATTTTTACTATCTTATTAATGGGTTATAAATACATGTACATATAAGAAATGCTAAATATTATTTATAATCAGAAATTGGTAACTAATATCGGACATCTTTTTTGGTATCTTGACCACCTTTCAAATAATAAAAATCTTAACTTAGAATAACTGATAAAAGTTTCAATTATGAATATAAATTTTTTACCAACTCATGTGAGTAAGATATGAAATTTTATTTGCTGCACTTTTTAAATAATACCTTAAAATACGAGTTTAAGGTATCTTTTTAGTAATAATTATTTTATACTAATGAATAAAAATCAAAGCTAGTAAAGTATGAAATTGTGTTTAACAACTAAGAAAAATAAAAAAAAATAGGAAAAGAAGAA